TGCCATCGCTGCTGCAGCTGCCTGCTGAGGAACGTGCCACTGGTCCTCGACCTGCTGCCCCCCGTTAGCTACGTGCGCTATGGCCGCCACTGCCGTGCCCACGTTCACGAGCATGAACCCGATCTGGCCGATCGCTGTCTCCATCCCGGAGAGGGTGCCCGCGATGGCATTGACCGACTCCTGGAGCGTGTCGATGGCTATCGCGAAGTCCGCCATCCGGGTGAGCTGCGTCTTGATGGCGGTGATGCCCTGGAAGATCTGCTGGAGCCCTTCCTCCATCTGCGTGGGAAACTGCTGGGTCTGCGTCGCGACCTGGATCATCTGGTCCACCACCGACTGTACCTGGCCCAGCGCTCGAACTCCTTCTGGAATCGCCTGGAGCTGCCACTGGAGACCCTGGAGCAAACCGTACAGCTGATTCACCGTTGTCAGCGCTGCACCACCTGCCTTGAACTGCGGGTCGCTGGTCAGGAGGTCCACCGCCCTCTGAGCGGATGACGCCGCTGCCCGCGCGGCCTCGGCCGCCGTTGGCACTGCCGGGGCACCTCCTTGACCAGCGCGGCCTCCAGGAATCCATGCAATGCGCACTCCGCAGAGAGTGCACCTCGATCCCGAGCCGTGCTGGTTCCCGTAGTACTTGATCGCCGAGGCTGGATGACTGCAGTGGGGTGATGCCTTGGGGGGTGGCTTCCCCACAGCTGGCCCGAACAGCACCCCTGGTGTCGGCGCCGTCGCTCCTCCTCCAACTGCCGTGGCAGCCGCCGTCCCCTCCGCTGCTGCGGCCGCCGGAGGCGGTCCTGATGGCAGAGGTGGCTGGCCGCGGTGCTCGACACCCGCCTGGGCTAGGGCATGCAGCGCCTGGTGCATCGTCGGCTGGATGGTCCCCTCGATCGGTGGAGCTGGGGGCCACTGAGACGCCGCTGCTGCCGCCCCCCACAGCGCTGGCTGCGGCTTCGATGCGGGTTGGTGCTGCTGAAGGTGCGGAGGAGGCGCCTTCACCACCAGGGGGCTCGCCGCGGCCTGGGCGGGTCCGAGGCTCGTCGGTGTCGGCAGCCCTTGCAACGCCGCGAGCGCCTGGTGCTGCTGGTCGCCCGAGGCGCTGCTGACTCCGTGCGACTGCTGGGGCATGGGCACGTCGCTGCCCGCCGCCGCCGTCGCCTCGCTGTGTGCCGCCGAGCCGACCGCTCCGGCTGAGGGCTCGAACACCTCCGAGGACACCTCGGAGTCCTCTCTTTCGGCGTGGCGCTGCGCCAGCAACTCCTCGGTAAGCTGCTTGGCAACAGGCTCCTTCTTCTTGCCTCCGACGGCGGGGTGTACGCCGAGAGCCAGCACCATCGCTACACGAAACATGAACATGGAGTGAATCACCCAGGATATGACTCCGAAGGCGATCGAGATTGGAAGCTTGGAATCGCCGAAACGAGTTTGAGCCCAAACTGGCCACGGAAATCACCAGGACAATCTGAACCCACATGGTTATCGCCGAGAAACCGAGAGCCCCGAGGTCGTAAATGGCCCTACCCGCTGATCTGAGGTCGAGGGCTCTGGTCGTCTCACTGGCCTGGCTCTGGTGGTACTCCTCATCCTTAGCTTCTCCGCGGGATCCCGAGGCCCGGACCGTCGCTAGGCTGCTCCACTGAGCTCGCGGCTGGTGCTGGTCGCTAAACTCGAGCTCGATCGATAAGTGCTGTCCCCGGGCTCGGCCCCGGCGTACGGTACTGTACTCGATTTGATTGAAGCTGAGGGGAAGGAGGTAGAGGACAACCCTGTAAGCGCTCATCTCTCCGCTGGCGCTCATCACAGGTGGCGGTTGCCCAGTGGCCAGTACAAAGGAAGACGCTGTCAGAAAAGGATACTTCCGAAGCGCACTGTCTGGGGTAGTGTGGCTCCCCTTAGTCTCCCGCACGATATCGGCCATGCGGTGACCGGAGCCCAGCTTGGTGACAGGAATGTCCTGAGCTAAAAACTGCGAAATCAGAAGATTACGAGGAAGGTCGAGCACGCAGCCTAGGAAATCCAGCAGGTTGACGCTCAGTATATGCGGAACGTCCTCGTTCAGCACCGTGGTCTCCACAACTCCCATCACTCCGCCGAGGCACATCGGATACAGGATGGTACAGATCACTTTTGCCTCGCCTCCGATGCCATGCGCCTTCTTGGGCGCCTTGAACTCTCCTGGTACTACTACGTAGCGAAGACCGTGACGAGCCAGCGCCTCGGCCTCTCGGTTCAGTGATGGCAGTCCCACTATGTCGCTGCCGGCCCCTGGGTCCACGAGGCCCTGCGTCGCGGAGGCGTTGAGGTAGACCTCGATGGCCTGCGCCTCCTTGAGGATGTCCTTCAGCTTCTCGAGCTCGTCGTTGTTCATGATCGGGTAGCTGCAGCCGTCGAACGTGTACCCGGCCAGGCCTCGCTTTGACCGATCAGGACCCTTGCCGCTGTCCTCCTTCCGCGGCTGAGGACACTCCCGTGACCAGTGGCCCTTCTCGTTGCAGTTCTTGCAGCGGGTGGCCTTCATGAGCCTGAGGATTCTCTGACTCGTGGCGCCGGTATCCTTTGGCCTGTCTCCTCGGCCTCGGCCGCGCGCGCGGCCTCGGCCGCCTGTGCCGCCTCGGCCGCCCCCACCACGGCGTCCGTCGTCGTCGCCCCGACGAGGTCGTGCACCGTAGAACTCGCGGTCCTGCTTCGCCGCGCGCTTCAGGTCCTTGTTCTGCTTCCAGGACCTGCGCTGCACCTTGCCTGTCATCTGCACGAAGGCTTCGGTGGCATCGTCCTCGTCGAGATCCAGATCCTCAATCTCCGCCAAAATGGCCATGAGGTCTGTCTCGGATAGCTCCTCGTCTTCGTCTGGATCCTCTCCCGACTCGTCGTAGTACGATTCTTCGTCCTGTCGAGCGGTCCCGGAGCCCGAGACCTGGTAAGCCTGGGAGGACGAGTGAGGAAGAGGGAGAGAGCTGTGGCCTCGCCCGTCCTCGCCGTCTTCTGCGGCCAGGACTGGGTGCGAGGCACTGCTGCCAGGCAGCAGCTTCTCGCCGCTGCCGTAGTCGAGCTGCCTGAGAGCCCAGGCCACGTCCCTGTAGTCCAGGCTGCCCTTGGTGAGGGCGCGCAGGTTCTGTTGACCTTGCGCGCTCAGTCCCGCACCCTCCTCGAGCATGAGACCCTTCATCTTATCCGACATCCATATGTCGTGGCTCTCGGCGTCGGTCATCTGCTGATCGCGCCTCGCTACGAACTGCGTGAGGCTCTCCTTCTGGCCCTTCGTGCACTCGAACAGTGCCCTGCGACCCGCTCGGCGCATGTCGTCGCCCTCTCGCTGGCCGCTCATGAGGTCCATTCTCTCGAGGAGAGTGTCCAGCCAGCGGGGCCCGCACAGCACGTTCTCGCTGATGTCCTCGAACTTCGCCTGCATCGTCCAGTCGAACAGCTTCAGGAAACGCTCCGACCGCCTCCACAGCTGCACGTCAGTGTTGCGGTTCCACCGCTGGATCGCCTTTTTCCACAGGCGGTAGTGGCCCCATCCTGGCCAGGTAGGTGGGTCTGAGTAGTCACCTTTTGACCAGCCGCCCTCGTTCCAGTTGTGGTTCCTCCAGCCGCCCTTGTCGTCGTCCTTCCAGTCGGAGTCCCTGACGCCGTCTCGCTTGGTGTCCTGCTGCTGTCGGCCCCCGGGGCCCCACTTGCTCTCGTCAGGCTCCGGCTGTCCACTCTTCCATGGATCGCGGCCGTCGCTCCAGGGATCCTGACCCCTCGAGCTCTCCTGCCGGCCGCTCTTGGTGCCGCCGTAGTCGTCGTCTGCGCCGGCGGCGCTATGGCTGAGCCCTGGGCCGAGGTTCTTCACTGCGTCCTTCACGGCCTGCTGGATCAGCTGCTTCAGCTGCTCCGTGACCTGTGGGCTCGAGCTCGCTGCGCCTCCGACGGGTGGCGGTGGCGCCGTCCCCTCCCCAGTCCCCTCTGACTGGGCTGAGCGCCCTCCGCCAATGACGGCGTACGTCTCGTTCTTCTCGTCTCCTGGGCCAGTGTCATCTGGCCCTGGCATCAATGCCTGCCGTGGATCCGCGCTCTGTCCAGTCCGGTGAGAGCAGCGCCCGCGCAGCCGCCCGAGCTGCACCCGGCACCACCGCTGATCAGCGGTGCCTGGAGGCGCCCATGCATGCCGCGCCGAACACTGCTCCGCTACCAACTGTGGCAGCAGCAGGATAAGCAGATGCATTTTGGCCTTGAGCCACAATGTGACAACGACAGTACATCTTCCCTGAAACACGTACGAACAATCCTGGCCTCCCGTGAGCTGGAATGTTGGGCTTCACGGGAAAGAACATTATGCTAAACCTATATCGATAAAACAGGAGCGTCTCCACAAGGGGAAGCTCCACCGAGTGCCTCCGTGGTGAGTTCGCATGCCTTTGGCAGACCCACTTCGACACACCCCTCACACGTTTTGTGGCCCCATAGGGAGCTCCACCGAGTTTTTCCGCAGTGAGTTTGCATGCGTCCGCCCGACCCATGTCGGCACACCCCACACACGTTTCGTGACCGCTATATGGGGGCGGGCCAAGCTCGCGTACCGCTCTTGGTATGTTTTTTCGATGCGAGTCCCCTCACCCGCTGTCGGTTGCTTCGTGAGTGCCCTCTGTGCTCCCAAATGCCAGATCTCACAATACTGGTGATAGAGTTTGCGGGCCGACCCTCCCGCTCCGTTCCCCCCCCCCCTGCCCGCACTGCCCCACGCCTCGTCCTTCCTACGGCGCGCTGCCTATGATAGCAGAGGCTGTGCCGTGCGATAATCGGAGTTCGCGTGTCCCCCTCCTTCGGCTAATCTCCCTCGCGGTACTCGCAGCTGCACATGGTTGGGTCCTTCGCCAGGCTATTTGTTCTGCCGTTCTGGGGCCCAGCGAAGGTCCCCACGGGCCGAAAATGACGAACAACATCCGTTCTGTTTTTTTGAGTACGTCGCAAGTTTGGGTCTTCCTCCTGGCATCCGTTCTCACGCCCCCGCCCTCAAGGAGGAGCGCCAGCGGGACCTGGACGAGGATGAGGAGCGCGTCTCTGCCGCGTGCTGCCATGGCTCCTCCTCCTCCTCCTCATTTTGCCCCTCCCATCCCTTTTCCCTTAGACATAGCTCTTCCCTGTTGCACGCCCAGGCGTGCCGGTAGGGCGGGACAGGCGTTTCGCCTTAGGTCTCCTCACCGCGTATGATCCTGAGCATTGACGTTGTACAGCAGTTTCAAGGATTGGGGGCGGGCGCTTTCCAAAATGTTGCTCGCCTTAGCGCCGCGCACATGTATGTTAGAAGTTTGCATCAGCTTCCGGTGGTTTTCATAATGTGGCTCTCGCCCTAGCGCCGCGTACATCCGTCTTAATAGTTTACGGCATTTTCAAAGATGGATGGCGGTTTCTTTTCAACATGTGGCGCTCACGTTAGCGCCGCGCACATTCGTTTTAACGTTGGCTTTTGTCTTGCGTCGCGCTCATGTGCTGCGCAAGCGCGCGACATTTTCAGGGATTCGTATGGCAGAAGTCGCATGAATTGTGTTCTGGCTAGATGTAAGATTGTCAGGACGCGACAGTCCCGTCGGTTCGCGGTGTTGAAGTCCCAAGAACGGCGTCCTGGCACGATTTAGGGCTGTCAGGACGCAGCAGTCATTTGGATCCGCGGCGTTGAGGTCCCAGGAATTGTGTTTTGTCACGGTTGAGGATTCTCACACGCTTGTTTTCTAATGAACGTAAATTTTTGTAGGGGCCTACGAAGAGGGGACTCGGAGGGAGGGTTCTTGCAACATCGTTGATGCGTCTTGGGTGTTCTTTTGTCCTCCTCTTCCGCATGCCCCTCATCCTCTTAGCCCCTACTCCCCTTATCACCTCCTCTCAATTCTGCTCTCTACTTTGTCTCCTTCTGTCCCCCCCGCTCCTGCTGGTGCTAAACCATGGACTAGGCTGGAGGATGTGTGTGTGTGTGTGTGTGTGTGTTTGTGGTTGACCCAGGTTCCTACGCTGTCTTTGTCCTTCGTTCTGGGTGGCTGCCGTTGCCGCGTCCCTTTTGCGCCTCGCTTGTTGCTTCGGCTTGACTCAGTCGCACTGCTTAGTCTTTCTTTCCCCTCGTTCCCTACTGGGAAGGCCTTACGACCAGTGCCGCCGACCCCGAAGGAGAACGACAACCACGACGGCGGCGGCGGCGACGACAATGACGACGACGCTGACGCTCTGGAACCCTTCTTGGGGCTCGCTCTGCCAGGGGGCCTCTTGGGGGAAGCTCCGTGATCACTTGGAGCCGCCTCGGAGCGGTTCTGAGGCCTCTTGGAGGCATGTTGGAAAACACGCAGCGCCCCGCAGCAGCAGGTACGAGTGAGGGGGGGGTCCGGGAGCAGGGGGGGATCACGACCCCCGGGGCCCCCCTCGGGACGCCCCCCCTGCGACCCATCCTAGAACTCCACCTGGGGACCCCCCCCCCGGGTGGACCCCCCCCGGGACCTGTCCCGGGACTCCCCCCTTTGGACCCCCCCAGCGACTCCCCCGGCCCCCCCCCCCGGTCCCCCCCTTGGGATCCCTGCCCCCTTTCCCCGGCAGGAAATTGATCAAAGGGAAGGGGCTTCCCTTCGAATCAATTGCAACGTTGTTTGATCTCCGTCTGGATGGATCGCTTGAGAAGGAGGAGCGGCGGCGGCGACGACTCAACTCAAGCGCAAGAAGGTTGTGTGTGTGTGTGTTGTCTGCGGTCACTGCCCACTTCGTCCACCGCCCCCTGCTGCGCGCCGCCGGGTAAGCAAGTCGGTGGTTCAAGGATGGGGCCCTGACGGATGGGGCCCTTCAGGGGCAGCTTTAGGAGGGGACTTGCTCAGGCTCAGGGGGGGTGCATCGACCCCGAGTCGCCCAGTGATCACCGACAGAGGCCTGATAGCGGATTCGCTGAGAGGGCCTGTTGTCGACCAATCGGCGATGTGTATCGCCGATTCCAGGTCGACCCCCCGCCCCCCCTCCCCTGAGCTGGTCCCCCCGCGTTGCCCCTCAGCGCTGAAGGATCCCAGGCAGAGCTTCCATTGCTGGAGAGGCCACCCGTCCCCCTGTGCACCACCACCACACCTGTCTCTGAATCGCCGCGTGCTGCATGTCGGCCCTCGTCCGCCCCCCCCCCGCAGTGGGGGCAACGTAAAACCCGAGTTCGTCGGAACTGGGGCTTGCCTGTGCCTTGTGACGGGCCCGTCCTGAACTCTGTCGGTCCAGTTTTGGTGGGGTCTCTGCAGAGGGAGTTCTCGCCAAGTACCAGACTGGATCTCGTCATTATCCCGACGGCCCCGTCAGGCCAACCCGAGTCCCCCGAACCCGAGTTTTTGCGTCTCCCTGGCCCAAGGAGGAGCGGCGGAGACTCGCCGAGCAGGAGACGAAGATGGCGCGCACGGTGATGCTCACGAGCCTGACGCACAGGATCCTGGCCGCTTCCTCCCTGAGATCCGAGCGTTGCATTTTCCACACCGCGCGTTTTCGCTCGGCTTCTGGTCCTGGGGCCCTCTCACAGATCGATCCGGCTCGAAGAATGCTGTAGAAAGATGGGGCCTGGCGCTCAGATTTCACACCGCGCGTTTTCGCCCGGCTTCTGGCCCCAGGACCCTCACATATTGATCCGCCTCGACAGATGCTGCAGAAAGATGTGGCTTAGGCTCCTGGTCGTGATTTCTCGCGATGTTGTATTTCCCAACCTTCCTGTGTTGTTGGGTCCTCATTGTGAAGAGACAGCGTCCCGCGTCCCTCTCCTCTCCTCTCGCCTCTCTTCTTCTCTCCTCTCCTCTGCTTTCCTCTCCTCTCCTCTCCTCTCCTCTCCTCTTCTCTTCTCCTCTCCTCTCCTCTCCTCCTCCTCCTCCTCCTCCTCCTCCTTTCCTCCGCCCTCCTCGTCGCCATCGTCATCGTCACCATCGTCGTCATCGTATTCATCATCATCAGCATCATCACCATTACCATCACCATCACCATCACCATCACCATCACCATCACCATCACCATCACCATCATCATCATCATCACCACCACCACCATCATCATCATCATCATCATCATCATCATCATCATCATCATCATCATCAGCATCGTCATCATCATCATCATTATCGCCATCATCGCCTTCACCATCATCTTCATTGTTATCATTATCATCGTCACCATGCCATCCTCATCAGCAACATAACCGACATCATCATCAGCATCATCATAATTGTTTTTTTCTCATCATCATGATCATCATTACCGCCATCATCATCACCATCATGATCATCACCATCATCACCATCCTTATCAGCATCATCGTCATTTTCGTCATTGTCATTGTTATCATCATCATCATCATCATCATCATCACCACCACCATCATCATCATCATCGTCATCATGACCATCGCCATCACCAACATCATCATCATCATCATCATCATCATCATTGTTGTTATGGTTATCATTATTACTTTCGTTGTTAATTTGTTTTTTGCATTGCTATGCTGGTCATTTTGTTTATTCCCATGTTTATATGTACCTGTTTCTTTATCTCTATTTTCATCTTCATATTCATGTGAATTCTTCATATCCAAAGGATGGCGTTTGTGTTATAAATGTGACCGCGTGGACCTTCCTCTTTCACCTCATCCTCCCTCCTCATGTTATGGCATGCTATGTTATGATATGGTTTATGCTATGTTATGGTATATTATGTTATGCCATGTCATGACATGTTGTGGTATGTGTTATGTTTTGTTATGGTATGGTGTTATATGGTATGCTATGGTCTGGTCTGTTCTGTTCTGTCATGCTATGTTATGTTATGTATGCTATGTTGTGGTATGTTTGAGGCGGCTTGCCTGTTTTTGCACTTGCAGGGGGGGGGGAGGCGTCAGGGCTATTTCACGGCCTCCGTTCGCGCCAAAATGGCGGGGATGTCTCGAGCGGTTTGCCTGTTTACCAGCTCATCATCCTCAGCTTTCGGAGCAGATTTGGAGGATGTCTCGAGCGAGGCGTTCATTTTATTTTGAAGAGGCCTCGATCGGTTTGCCTGTTTTGGTGGCCCGACTCGTGACTTTGTCCCTGATCCGAAAGTGGAGCTCACGGGGCCCGATCCGTGTGAGGGACGTGCCGAAATTGGTGGGAGGACGTCAAGTTCAAACCATGTGTTGGTCACTACTTCAGTGGAAATGTGACCGAATCGCACCACCAATTGAATGTTAGTGGGGATGATGATGAGGAATGGTCAAGGCCCCTACGAGCCCTAGAACCCTGATGAGCTCATCAGCCCGAGGAATCCCCTATGCATCCAATCACGCCTGCGGGCCCTCGGAGCCTCTTGATCCCCAAGAGCCGCGCTGGCTGAATTACCCCTCTTCTCAGTTAAGACTTCAAGCCTCTGAGCCCCAATGGCGGCGGAGAGGCCTTTGGGCCCTCTGACCTGGTAGAGCCCATGGGACCTGTCAGCATCGCGTGACCCATGGACCCTATAGCCGAAGCGCATTGCGGTAGTGGAGTGTACAGCGGCGGGCCTCTCTGATGCCATGCGATCCAGATTTTTCAGGCTAGGCGAAGCGAGCCGCTTACATCACACACACATATATATGTATATGTATATGTATGTATATATATATATATATATATATATATATTATATATATATATATCACATACCGGGGTACCGGGGGCCAGGGCCCCGGGCCGGGACACCCACCCGCATTTCCCCCCCCCCCCCCCCGTAACCGACTTTGCCCCCGGGCGTCCGGAGGCTCTTTTGCACCCCCGGAGGCGTGGCGCCCACCACGGCTTCCGGGGACGGCAAGAAGCCGCCAAGACGGCCCAAGAGCGCTCCAAGACTCTCAAGATAGCCCCATCAAGGCCCAAGGGGCCCCCAAGAAGCCCCAGGGGCGCTCCGAGAGGCTTTCCAAGAGAGCCCCACGAGGCTAAAATCATAGATTTTCATTGTGTTTTTCAATGTTTTTTGCTTGCCCGCGTTTTCGGGCTTCTGACCTTCCAAGATTGCCGACGAACATCGCCCCAAGACGGCCCAAAAGGCCCCCGAGAGGCCCCCAAGACAGCCCAAGAGGTCGCCCAAACGGTCCAAGAGGCGCCCAAGACGGCCCAAGAGGGCTTCAAGACGGCCCCAAGAGGTGCCAAAGAGGGGGAACACGAACTGACAATGGAGATTTCCGCCCCAACAGGCCCCCAAGAGGCCACCAAGAGGCCCCAAGAGGCTTAAAAATGCCCCCATCAGAGACCCCAAAGAGGCCCCAAGATGCCCCAAAACGGCCCCCCCGGAGGCCAGGTGCCCAGAGGAAGGCCCCAAGGGGGTCCACGAACAAGACACGCTTGGAAGTTCTCGCGTGACTTGAGGTCGCGCCCTGCTGTAGTCGTTCAAGGCCTTCTTGGCACCCTCCCAGGGCCTCTCCTGGAACCGCCCTCCTTCTCCTCTCCTCTTTCCTCCCGGAAGTCTCCCAGTGGGTCATGCCATCCGGACGCTGGGGCATCGGATCCATTCTTTATCTTCCCTCCTCTCTCTCGCCCCCCTCCCCTCAGTCCCTCCTTGACCGCTCCCCCATACCTATGGCCTCGCTTGATCGAGTAATCATCCTGTACAGCGTGAGCTCCACAGTGAGATGGGCCGCAAACGCCCAACGAGACCCTGGACTACCCCCCGGCAGCGCCCAAGAGACCCTTCTCTGCTGGGGCCAGGCTCATGTTGATTTTTCAAACCATGTTGAAGCCATTCGTCGGTACGTGCATTCGTGCAACCGTGACTTTGTCAATGTGCGCAGCCCTAGTATTGTCAAGCGCGTGCGTTTGCTAGAACCTAAGCGCGCGCGAAGCGCGCGCGTGGTTCTAGTATGTATATGTATATATATACACATATATGCATGTATATATATATATGTATATTTGTATACACTTGTATATATCTATATGGTAATATGTTGGGGTACTGGGGTGCTTCCCTTCCCTGGGGACAACAGCAAACCAGTTGCAGCATGTTCGTCAGCTCCTCGCTGCTCAAGAGAGCGTGTCTGCGACGGGTTCGGCCAGGCAGGCTTTCAGATATTCAGACGGCTCTGACTAGGGCCTTGGATCAGCCGCCTCTCGCTTTTCGGAGGCCTGGCTCGAGTCGTCAGTTTTGCATTCTGCCCTGCATCTCTCTTGCGGATGCTTGGCTCTCATTTGGAGGGAAACCTTGCCGACGGTGTCGCTGTCCCTGCACGAGCACGTCCGCCTGCAGGCAGCGCCTGTAGAGCGCCCTTCTAGCTCCTTTTTGGTGTGCAACTATATGTAACTCCGCCCGACGCCCCCCCCCCCCCGACGTCAACAGGTTTTCCGGTGGACCCCCCGATATCTAGATCCTTTCCTGGGGACCGACTTCTCATTTTTTGTGTAGGTTTCAGACGGCCCCGGGGTCGGCGAGGGGGCCCAGAGGAAGATGATTGGCAAACAACTCCCGTCGTATTTTTTCTCACCACGCGAGGGGTCCGGGAAGCCTTCTTGATCACATTTCGTCCGAGCGCCAGGAGCGACGAGCGCGACATCTACGAGTTCTTCTCGACGGGCGCGGGGACCGTGCGCGACGTCCAGATCATCAGGGACGCTAGGACGGGCAGGTCCAGGGGCGTGGCCTACGTCGAGATGTCCACGGGCGAGGCCGGGAGGGACGCCAAGCCAGACATCGCATCCTTAGGTCTCCGACGACACGCTTTCTTTTTCAATCCCAATGTTTTCCTTCCGATTTCTGTCCTCGAGGGACTTTGTGGGGCCCCAGGGCCATCAACGGATCTGGGACGAACATGTACGCCCAGGGAAGCGGTCGGGACCTCTTGGGCAGCGGTTTGAAAGCATCATGTCGGCAGAATGTCAGGGTCCAACGTGCTGAGAAATTCAATGTTTTCGTTGCTTTCGGTCTCTGGGGCCCTGGGGGCCATATCCGGGCCCCGAGGCCGTCCAAGAGCGACTCGGGATGGAAAATCGGCCCTGGGGAAGGGGTTGGGACTTCTGGACTGTGCCGCCTGCACCGAGGTTCGAGGCTCGAGTTTCGAGCCTTCTTGGGTCAGTTGTCGCTTCGGGGATTTTTTGGGGCGCTTCGGCAGGTTCTCGTCGCCCCGGCCGAACGCAGCTCGACATGCCGGCCATGACGGGATCCCCAGGGGTCCAGGGACCCGTTTGTGAGCGGATCTCGGTCTGCGGGCTCGAGGAGCCTGGTCGTTCCAAAATTGGGCGCAGGATCAGTGTACGTACCGGGAAGCTGGATGCACAATGGCGCGGGCCGGGCTGGGCGAGAGCCGTGCACAGTGGTGAGCGACGTAAGGACACGGAGTCGAAGGCGCCGCCATTCGCGCGGAAGCTTCCCGCGCAAGTCCGCACGTGAGCGCCCTCTTCTCCACGCGGTGTGCCGCGCTCGTGGCCTGCGTGTGCCACGGCGCAAGGTCGCCATGCCTTCGTGACTACAGACCCCTTTTCATCTTGTCGCTCGGGTGGATCTTGCGAGCGCACTCGGCTCTTCCACGGCCGTGCACGCCGGACTCCCGCGCGTGTATCCAGCGCGCGGCCTCCGGCGGACGCTCCGCGTGTGGCTCCGGCCATGTGCGCCAGCCGCTTCCTGGGCGCAGCCCGCCCCGGCCCGGCCAGGAGGGCGCGTGAACCGATCCTGGGCCTGGGGTGGGCCTGGCGGAATCGGCGGCGTGGGGGGATCGAGTCCATGCGTCCCCCCCCGCCCTGCCCCGACCAGGATCGGGGTCGGGCCCAGGATCGGTGCACAGCTGGCCTCCCCAGCCGGGCCGGGGGCGTTTGAACCTGTTTTCTTCGGGGGCCCCTTCGGTGTGGTGACCAGACCACACCGTGTGGTGAGTCGGTGGGGATTCGGGGACACCGCACGGTTTTGGGACTCGGATCGATTTCCGATGACGTCTCGGGTCGCCAGGGCCTCCGAGGTCCCCAAGCCGTGCGGTGACGTTCCGCGCGGTGAGGTCTCTTGGGATTCCGAGGTCGCCACGCGGTCCGTCACCACACGGTTTTGGGGCCGCGCATCTGTGGCCCAGGGCGGGCCTGGCCAGGTCGGCCACGCGCGGGAATGGGGTCAGGGCGAGTGGGGCGCCGCTCTTTCAGAAGGCACCCCTCCTGCACAGACCTCCCCGCGTCGCGGCCAAGACCACGATTTCCCGAAGAGCGTTTCGCCAGAGGTCTCTCACAGCAGAGGAAGAAAGGACCACCTAGTAGTCATAGTCCCACAGGGGGGACGGAGCCCCAGACCGTCCCGTCCGGCAGCTGTTTCGCTTAAGACCTCCTCGCAATTTATTCAAGAATCGTGCTCTCGCCTCAATGCTGGCTGCATTTTTGGTTCTGACGGCCACGATTTTTTGAAGAAAATGTGTTGAGGTGCATATGGCCGTGCTCTCACCCCTGTCCCAGCACGTTATCACCAGACGACATCCTGCTCCTCGACGCGCGTCTTCACCTTGGCTGCTATAAGGGTGCTTTCCTGGGGTAATCAGGCTTTCGGCCATTCTCGGGCCGTGGGGTGCTCTCACCTTCCCCCAAAGTCCCTGAGATCCAGTGTTGCGAAACATTGCGACATCGTCAGACATCACGACTGGAGTCCTAGACCCCATCTTGCTCAGGCATTTTTCAAGCCTGATCGATCTGTGTGATGGCCCCAGGGCCCGACACCAGGCGAGCAACGCCCAGATCTCAGGGGTGAGACACCGCTCTGGGCCGTCTGAGGCCTGCCCAGGAACTGGGAGCTTGGCTCCAGGGGTCCAGGCCGCAAACAAAATTCACGGCGCCGGGGGCCTGGCGCGCTCTTGGGAAGCCTTCCGCGGCATTTGTCCCCGCCTTCTCAGATGGCCCCTCCACTTGCTCCCCAGACACCCGATGTCTTGAGTTTCTCGACACGGAGTCCCTGGGGCAGGCTCTTCATCCTGAGCCGTTTCCTGACAGTCCCGGGGCCCGGCGAGGGCCCGAGAACAGCGAAAGACGTCCGCGTTGAGTTTCTCGTGACGTTGGAAGTATGGATCCGCACCCCCTTCTGCGCGCCGCCAGCCAGGGGTTGCGCAGGCGTATCCAGGCCTCAGTTGCCGCGGTCTCTTTTGCACGGGGCCTCCCCAGACCTCTCGACCCTGCCCGAGCGGCCAGCCTCTCTCGCCGCGGGCATTTCTCACGGAGCCCAGCCCCTGTTACCCGAAAAGGTTTGTGGCCGAACAAAACTCAGTGACCGAAAACGTGTCCGAATTTTTGGCCGAAAACGTGGTGTGACCGAAATCAGTTACCATCGGGCACGATCCGACAATTTCGGGCGCCTGTTTCGACTACACTCGTTCAGATTTTCGGGCACAATTTTGGTCATGCCACCCCCTGATGGAGAGGAGACGATGGTAGGTTCGCGTCGTGTCGGCCTGCGGCGGCGACGGGCGTTCAACGTTGAACGCCGCCGGCGACCCAGAATCGGTCGATGTCGAACGATCTGACGTTTCGGAAACGGCCGATCGTTCAAGCTTGAACGATCCCCGCGGTGTCAGGAACCAACGCCGAAGTCGGCACGACACGAACCTGCCGTTTTTTTCGGTGCGCGGCTGAGTGGGCCCTGGAAAGGGCAGTGCCGTTTGTTTAAGCCGTTTTGAAGGAATTATTCTTGATCATGAAAACAGCAAGAAGAACAGTTTACCGAAGCGGTGAAACAACATCTTTACCGAAACTGCCTGGGCAGTCCAGGGATCCGAACGACATTCGGAACCTGTTCAAAAACGGTTCGAATGCGGTGGCACAGCTGTGATCTGGACCAGAAACGTCAAAAAGCCCCGACCCTTTTCCCAGGGCAGGTTTTGCATCCTGAGTAGTTTTTGACGGTCCCTGGGCCCAGCGAGGGACCCCAGCGGCCGAAAACGAGGAAAGATATCCCTGCTGAATTCTTCAATGCGTTGGAAGTCTGTGGCTCAGTTTTGCCTGCCTGGCCCTGGGACGCGTCGAAAGGCTTGTAAGTTCGTGCCTCGGCGGCCACGGGTCATGCATACATACATGTATGCGCACCTGCAGCAAGCCATGCGGGCACTGCACCCGCAACCATTCGTCGCGTGGCCTGGCAACGACGCCGCGATCGAGTCGCTGGATGCCCGGGTGGCGGCGCGCAGAGGGAGTGGCGCGAGGGGTGTTGGGCTTCTAGGACGGCGGGGGGGCTTCTCAAAAACACCTGGATGCTTCTTAGAAGGCTTCTCAGAAATCTGGAGGGCCTCTAACATCTAAGAAGACCTTTGCCTTCTTAGGGACTCAGGGGCCTCCCCGCCTTCTCAGAAGGTCGCCCTCTTCGCGCCACCCCCTGGTGCGCAGCGACGTCCCCCCCCCCCCCCCCCCCAGTGCAACTCCTGGGAGGTCAGATCCAACATCGGCGCTGGTGTTTCCATGTTCGAAAACGTGCCCATTCCAGCACAAGCCCGCTCAATCCTGCTTGACTCTGCTTAGTTGGGCTTACTCTTGGGTCTGCTCCTGCCTAATCTGGCCTGATGGCCCCCCTTCATCGGGCTTCACGGCCCCCTAATCCCTAATCGTTCCTTACGAAGACCTCCCGGGAGTTGCCTCCTGAAGTCGTGTTGATTTCACGACGTGGACCCCAGAGGTCTGGACCCCGTCCCAGGGACCAGTTTCGTTTCTTGATGGCCCCGACGCCCAGTGCGGGACCCCAGCGGCCGAAGTGTGCCACAAAGGGTCCGCCGTGATCTCTCGGCGACGCGAGGGGGCCTGGGCCCCCCGCAGGGCATGGTCCGGGCCATCGGCCTGTCCGGCCAGTCGCTCAAGGTCGAGGATAACCCAAATCTGCACAAAATCTTTCAGAGCTCTGCGCGGATTTCTTGGATCGGCGCTGGACCCGCCTCCCTGGCGCGCGGAGCGCGCTAGGGGGTGGCGCCGTGGGCGCCGCCAGGGGGCGCCAGCGTCGATCAAAGGGATCCGCGCGGAGCTCCAACAGGTTCTGCTTAATTGTGCAGTTCTTGTCTGGCTCCTCTACAAGGGCCAGGCCATCCGCGTCCAGCAGGCGCAGGCCGACGGCGGCAGGAGCACCGCGGCCAGCCAGGGCGCCTACCGGTAGCCCCACGCGGGCGCCGCCGCAGACGCGCGGGCGGCTGCCCGCTCTCCGACCGTTCGCTGCGGCGGGTGCCCGTATGAATGCCCGGTGCACAGTGCCCCCGAGGCCGGTCAGCGCGTGCCCGGCGCCCCCCCTCCGCCCCGCCTCCTCGTCGGGCCTCCTCCTCGTCCTCCCCCTTTCTCCTCATGTTCTTCCTCCGCCACAGTTGCACAGTTTGAGTGCTACTCTCCTCTCTCCCCCGAAGACGAGGCGTTGGCCGGTCAAGGGGGCCGTTGGGTGCGCTCCCAGGGAGCGCGGGCCCCCCCTCGCCCGGCTGACCCCACACGTGCCGCGCGGCCGCCCGCCATCGCCGCCGCCGCGCGCCCGTGCCGCGGACGCCGCCTCGCCCAGCACGCGCCGGCGCAGGCCAGAGCCTGCCTGGCACAGACGTCTGCGGCTACGGCGGACTCACGCCCGCACGATTGTTCGCATCGTATCAGCAGATCAACCTCTTCGTGCACACCACAGCGCCATGTCACGCCCATGGCAGCGTCAGCCCGACTCAAGCTCATCGCGGCCCGCTTCCTCGTCGGGGCAACAGTGGCAATGTGGTCAATGTGGCACACACAACTGGCCCAACTTGCGCATGTGTGCATGGTGCTTCCCCCCGCAGCCGTCGGCCCGTGGACGAGGAGGGAAGTCACGCGACCGCTCGCACCTTCGCAAGACTCAGCAGTCGCAATCCGAGCAGCCCCAGGCCAGTTCCCAACCTACCCAAACAGGTGGGTTAGGCTCTGGTGGACGCGGAGGAGTACCGCAGAACGGAGCTGCTTCGAGCCTGCCTGGCTTCTCGCTAGGCATCTCACCTGCAATGCCGCAGGAGGCTCAATCCCACGCTGCATGGTTGGAGCCGCCGTCGGACCAGAAGGAGCTTGCGGCCCACCGTCTGCAGTTGAAGAAGAATCTAGAGGCCCTGGAATGCCAGATCAAACCCCAGCAGGCTTTGAAGGCCAACCAGTCGCGCCTCAACGAACTGACGGACGAATGTGCCGTCATCCTCTACATGTTCATACACGCGTACCCGTCCAAGGATCGAGTTCAGAATCAGGACCGCTACATCGAACGGGGTGCAGGACGCCGTCGCCTCCGAGGATGCAGCCAAGACTGCCTTGGCCACTGCAGCCGCAACCCGAGCTGCCTTGCAGGAAGACCTGGACAAGGCTCAAGCTATCCACGCTGCCTTCAAGGTTATGCAGGAGCAGGAGGAGGCCGAGGCAGATGCCAAGGCCCAGGAGGCGGCAGCAGCAGCAACTCAGGAGGCCTCATCAGCGCCGCCGTGGCGGCAGCAGCCCAGCCAGCCCAGCCCTTTCATGGAGGTCGACCACGGACGCCCGATGGCCATGGTGACGCCGCCCAGCCCGTTCGTGACAGCCATGGGCACCTCGGCGGCTCAGTTGCCACACGCGCCCCAGCAGGCGCCGCAGCAGACACCACAGGCAATGCCGCAGGTGATTGCGCAGCTGCAGGCTGGCCAGAGCACCATGACGACGCAGCTATCGCAGTTGGCTCAGACTCTCGCATCGATTCAGACGGCGCTGGCAGCAGGCCCACAGCAGGCACGCCAGCAGCCGCAGGCAGCGGGGGCCACTGGCCAATGCCCAGCCGCCACCGCAGCCACGGCGCCTACAGCGCCCGCCGAAGAGATGGGAGCCGACGGCCTCCCGGAGATGACTTTGCAGGAGCTCAACGCCATGCGCGAGGCCACGGGCCTGAAGGTCGGCGCATCGCACCTGAAGTCACACCCGCTGCTGCCTGGGCAGATGCCGCTCCCGTGGCCAGTTCAGGCCACGCGAACTTCGAGGCGAGGAGCGTCCGAGGCACATCCCGACGTTCCCGCCGAGAAGAGCCAGAGCCTGCCGCATGCGGGAAAGGACGGAGTCGACATTGAGGCGCCGTCCGACGATGCCGCTGCGGCGGCGGCAGCAGGGCAGCAGCTTTTTCACAGCTTCGCACGACTCGAGGGAGGGCAATCAAGAAGAGCTCTATTCGGGAGCCACGCCTTCTACTCCTCTGAATGGTACTGCCCCCTCCAGAGGATGCATATATAGTCCACTCCCGGATGCCCAGGCGGTCCAGGAGTGTCTCTTCTAGGCTTGGGGCACCCCGCTCGACAGCAGTCTGCTGGACGTTGCTCCTTACTTGCGTTCTTCTACCGTTCAGGCTCTTCCAGGAATGTATCCCATGACCGACTTAGATAGCTGGTGCAAGATCCATATCTTCTTGGATGGATCAGGAGGGTGTCGTTCAGGACCCGATCGCAACATGTTTGTCCCTGGCCGCGCATTTCATGCGGAGAAGGGCCTGCCTAGCTGGGGCTTCGTCGTTTTGGCCGAGGACGTCCACGAACGGGTTGCCATTGTTGGTTATTCGGCTTCTACTTTCGAGGGCCCGGACCTGTCTCCTGATTTGTTTTCCTTTATGGCTGAACTACTGGCGGCCCAATGGGCCCCGGCATGGCTTTTGCAGCTGGGGGCTCTGGATTCTTGGGATATTTGTCTATATGGGGACAACATGGAGGTTCTTAGCATTCTTGATGGGGGTGCCACTATAGGCTCTCTTGGGAACCGGCGCCGTCTCCTGGATGCCCTTCAGAAAATTGCGCGTGCGAGGGCCCGCAGCTGCCGTGTTTTCCACGTTGCAGGGCACCAGGCGCAGCCGTGGAATGAGTTTGCTGACGCGCTCTGTACTCTAGCATCGGCGAGCCTATTTCAATTTCGGCAGCTGGCTACGGGCTGGAGACATATCGAACAGCATTTAGAGGCGCTTGCATGGGCATGGCTGGACTCGGCCCCGCTCCAGGTTCGTGGGCAATTTCCTCCTGCCCCAGGTATCGCGCTGAACGAATCCATGCCATCTACTTTCTCTTTGAGGGACTTGGCTCCCCCACTGGAGCATGAGGGCCCAGGGGTCAAGGCCAAGGGTCAAAATGAGGGGCCAGGAGGACCTCGTTTGACTCGTGTTGTCGCCGCCAACGTTCTCACGCTGGATCCCAGGGCCCATCGGTCGGCCAACGCCGCGGGCCTTTTCCTGCCTGGGCGGATGGCCTACATTGGGCATAAACTGGCGACATCTCGGGTACTTTTTGCAGGTGCGGTTGAGACTAGATTTTCGCGGTCTGGCACTTCCAGGGTTAGGGGCTATCACGTCATCCACTCCGCGGGGGACCGATATCGGCGTTTTGATTTTTGACTCCGTACGCTTGCTGCCTAGGCACTGCAAAGTACTTTATGCGACGCCGAGGGTGCTCGTTGTGACGATAAGGTGTCAGCCATTTTCTCTCAACGCAGTGATTGGGCACGGCCCGCGCAGCGGATCGGGTCAAGAGGCCATCCGTAAGTGGTGGCAGGCACTTAAAGACAGGCTACGCCAAGTACTTGACACCGCCGTCCCTGAGATGTGGTTGATCGACGCCAATGGCCGCGTTGGATCCCGCACCTCAGAGGCCATCGGACGATGGCAAGCTGAGCCAGATAATCTTCCTGGCCAACTATTCCACAACCTGGTGCTTGATAGAAGGCTTTGGGTTCCAGCTACGATTTTGCCATCGACGCACTCCGGGGCTACATGGTTTCCTCCTGCGGGCCAAAACGAGCTTCTGGATATGTCCACAGGCAAACGCATTGATTACATATGTTGTTCCAGAGATTGCCAGGTGGACTCGGCTACTGTTTTGAACTCTCTGGACCTGACTGTTTCTATCGTGGACCATAAGGCTGTCAGCGCCGTGATCCGCTTCCCCCTCACGGCCAAGGCCAGCAACGTGCTTTCGTTCTTCCCCAATATTGCGTGCGATCCCACGTCGTTTGAAGACCCTGCCGCCCGGGCCAAGCTCGCCAGCTATGTGGGGCGCTACGGGCCGAAGCCTTCCTTTGATGTGCACGTTAACGACCGCTGCCAGGAGGTCGTTCAGTTTCTGCACCATGCCCTGCCGCTCGCTTCCCCATGTCGCGCCACGGAACATGACGCAAACCTAGGCAATCTTGGATCACCCTGTGTACCCTGGAGGCCATGGATGTTCGCACCTATTGGCTACGACGCTTCCGATATCTTGGGGCCCGATGGAGCAAGGCTGTCTTGGGAGCTTGCTTTCGAGTTTGGGCCGCGCTTATTGGTGGTTCATGGTTTTGCCTACGTCGTGCTACGTGGACCTGGTCGTCTCGTTCAATCTCGGGGTCCTGGTCGTCGCTGGGGTCTGGGTCCTTCGCAGTCTGCAATGCTGGCGCGACGCCTGGGAAGGAGTTCTGGAGATCCTGGATTGTAAGTCGGACCTACTGGTTACTATCGCTCAAGTACCTACTAAAGGACCCCGAGGCCCCTCAAGAGCCTCTATCAGAGCCCTGGCCCCGCCCACAGACATGGTTGCGCAGACGAACAGTTTTATTGGCATGTGGCTGGTTGAAATGCTTGCCAACCTTCGGAGGCTTTCTTCGATGTCTCACGCGCTGCGCACGGTCTGTCTCGCTGAGAGCACCAAGTATGTCAACCTGCTGGTCAAGCAGGACGCGCGAGCTCATTACTCGGACATCGCCAGGGATGTCGCGAATGCCTGGTCTCTCAAGGAGCATGCTCGAGCGCGCAGGAGGCTTAGGTCCGTAGGCGCATGTTCCAGGAAGAAAGCCAGGCCCCAACCCCTTCCACTTCTCCGTGGTGATGACGGGCAACCGGTGCACTCAGAGAGAGAGAGAGAGAGAGAGAGAGAGAGAGAGAGAGGCTCTAGAGGCATGGGCGCGACATTTTGCTGCGATAGAGGCTGCTCCAGTTGTGCCGATGCAGGACTTAGACTGGCACGCTAGCGCCCTGCCCGCTCTCCCAGCTGAGCACTTGCAGGACATGCATTTCGACGTCAGAGAAGTGCCAACACTAGCCAGAGTGGAGAGGTCCTGCCGCAAGGCCAAATGTGCTGCAGCAGGACCTGATGGCATTTCTGGAGCTATGGCCAAGAAGCTGTTTAAACCGATCTCCCAGCTACTCTTCCCCCTTCTTGATGTTTTAGCCACCTTAGCTCATGCCGGCTCAGACCGTTCGGGTTTGCACGCAGGCGTGCTCGCGCCGGAGCTCGAAGAGCGCTCCCGGATAATTTCCGTCGACGGGGTGTTCTAATGTTTTCTCACCTGCACGTGCAGCTCGGAATCTTCGCGCGCAGAGTTTGCGTCTTCATTGCAAGAACT